ATCTCATTATTGTCGTTCTCTCCTCCTCAATGGCAGTGCAAGGATTTGTGGACCAATAAGACTGTCATTGTATATGGTCCTGACAGGCTGAGGCTTCCTTTCTATATACTTCCTACTTCAATTTTTGGTAAAAATTTATGTATTATGTATGTATGACCAAGGGCACTTTCATTATTGAACAGTGAACCTCCAGCACTCACTTCCTGTGCCGCGTATTTGGCTCAGTGCTAATGGAAATGAGTACTCTGCTGGCTAAAATTAGTCGTGTAATTGTTTTGCCACCATTCCTCCATGATTAATTTCCTCAAGGTGAAGTCAAAATTGTCACTGCCCGGTGAAATCTTTCTTCCAGATGCAATTCATAGATTATCTTCTCTGGTCTCCACCTGCTCCATTGGTTTTCCATCCATAATACCTCATATTGGTATACAGGCGTGTATGAATTGTTGCCCCCAAGTTTCCAGGGACTGGCAGAATGCCTAGGACTTAAGATTGTCAGTAAATGCTCCTTAATTCATCTGTGAATAAAATTAATCCCTATTACTATTTGTACAGAGTCTGTTCTTTTGTCCTAGGCAAAAAAACCCCACAAAAAAACAAAAACAAAGAAAACCATGCATTCCATCATATGAAGCAACAACTTATACATTCTTCTTTTTTGCAGGGAACAGGGTAGTCAGCAATATTAAAAAATAATAATTAAAATGTTAACATTTAAGTTATTTTTTAAATATTAAAATTTGTCCATTTCACAAAGTACATATTTTCACTTTTTTTGGTGGTACAAAAAGAACTAAAGGATAATTTTATCAGTTTTACTGTCTAAATCTAGACTGACAAGCTCTTAATAAAACATTACACTCTTAATAAAGTCACCTATGTTATATGTTAGCACAGTGCAAACCAGTTTTGAAATGAAGGAAAATTATTTACTTAGCAACTGTTAGGAACAGTTCCTAAAAATACCTACCTCCCCCCTTTCCTCCAGTGCTAAATATCTAATGCAGCACCAAGATTTGTGCCACTGTCCACTGGCATATAGAACCAATGGCTGGCTGCCTGAAATGCACAGAAAATGTTTCCAACAGTTATTAAAACCATTTTACCTCTCTGAACTAGTAACATTGCAGTCTTAATATGGTAATGTTGAACAAAGGCTTTTTTTTTTTTTTTTTTTTAAGAGACTGGGTTTCCCTCTGTTACCCAGGCTGGAGTGCAGTGGCACCATCATAGCTCACTGCAACCTCCAACTCCTGAGTCTGCCTTAGCCTCCCAAGTAGGACTACAGGCATGCGCCACCACACTCAGCTTAATTTTTAAATTTTTTTGTAGAGACCAGTTCTTGCTACATTGCCCTGGCTGATCTTGAACTCCTGGCCTCAAGCGATCCTCCTGCCTCACTCTCCCAAAGCACTGGGATTATAGATGTTAACCACCATGCCTGACTGAGAAAAGGCTACCATTTGTACCCATGACAGCCTACTTCATAAATGATAGGCTGTAAATGTACTATAGAACTATGGGAAAGAAAATACTTTCAGTGAATACACTGGTATGTTAAAGCTGATTTATAAAAAACATTATTTCAAATTTTAATAAGATGGCTGAGCAGAAAACTGGCTGACATTTTACTTTTTGCCATCAGCAGAGTACTGACAATCAGATAAAGGTTGGCTAATAAATGTCTTATATAAAGCAATCATTTTACCTTAGTGCTGCCACTAGGAAATATATACATATTTTAATGTTGGCCTAGGTTCTAGTTTTAGTTGCAGAACTTGACTACATCTGTACATCTTTTGGGGCTCCTATTTTCTGAAAGACCGTAAACAATTAAGTAAACTGATATTATCCCATCCAAGTACTAACCAGGCCCAACCGTGCTTAGCTTCCGAGATCAGATTGGGTGCCTTTAGGGCGGTATGGCTGTAGACGGTAAATTGATATTCTCCAATCTGATGTACATCAACAAATAAGTTAGAAAATGCTACAAAGAAACAAAACCAAGTTACCCTAAACATTTTAATTAAGCCTAAAATTGCTTTATTTACTTTCTGCATGTGGGTTCAGGAAAGCTACTCACCGTCCTTGCCTTTTTCTAAGAGATGGGGGTCTCACCGTGTTTCTTAGGTTGGAGTAGAACTGGGCTCAAGTGTCCTCCCACCTCCTGAATAGGTGAGACTACACAGGCACGCCACTGTGCCCATCTTGCCCTGGCCCTGTAAAGTGCCTGGATCTCAAGGGTTCAAAAATGCTCCAAGAATCAAAAGTATTTCATTGTTTGTGTAAAGTTTAGGACAGATACAGAAATTATATGCTTGCTCACTGTAGACAGGTTCTGCCCTGCCCAAGTTTGAGAGGTAGGGGATGGAGACAATATAACTACACAATTTTCTAACCCACAAATTAAGCAGACCCCATTTTCAGCCAATTTAATTTTGACACTGTGATATTATAAAACACATTTAAGGTAAAAACAATTACAATTTAAGAAATCTGTTGCCTACTCTTTAAAAAACAAAGTTTATAAAAAAAAGCTCTAATCTCACCACTTTGGATTTTAATCCTTCTGGACTGCATCCTATTATTTTTTATGTAAGACATATAGACAATATAAATTATTTAAAAGGGTAAAGGTGTAATCCTAGCACTCTGGGAGGCCGAGGTGGGCGGATTGCTCGAGATCAGGAGTTCGAAACCAGCCTGAGCAAGAGCGAGACCCCATCTCTGCTATAAATAGAAAGAAATTAATTGGCCAACTAATATATATATAGAAAAAATTAGCCGGGCATGGTGGCTCATGCCTGTACTCCCAGCTACTCGGGAGGCTGAGGCAGGAGGATTGCCCCTAAGCCCAGGAGTTTGAGGTTGCTGCGAACTAGGCTTATGCCACGACACTCACTCTACTCACTCTAGCCTGGGTAACAAAGCGAGACTCTGTCTCAAAAAAAACCAAAAAAAAACGTAAAGGTAAGATCTTAAGAGAATGTAAGGGAATATAATTACCTCCCTCCAACCCTGTGTTTAGGTATCCTATGTAAAATGGAGACAGAACTCACTTCATGGGAAGGATTAAGCAAATACATGTCAAAGTACTTAGTATAGTGCCAAGCACGAAGCATTCAACACTATAGCTAATCTTATCTGAGGTTAAGAGGGTGATAAAACAAAGTGCACCCCAGTTTAACAGTATGAAATCTGAAAGGTGCTGGGTGTGGTGGCTTACGCCTGTAATCCCAGCACTCTGGGAGGCCAAGGCGGGACTAGTCTGGTCAAGAGCGAGACTATACCTCAAAAAAAAAAAAAGAGTCAGATTTAGGTCCTGGCTCAACAAAGGTTACCAAGATGCTTCATGTTGGATGGTCATAATGTAAGAATTCTGAAAACTATACTTTGCAAAACTGTGGTTTTTCTTACTCATCTTTCCTTTCACCTTTTAGTTGACATTCTACTTCAAGGATGAGCTTCCTTTCTCTTCATATGGAATCACAGAATCTTATTCTATGAGTGATAATGTTGCTATCAGTTTACTTAAATAATGTAATTGACAGACTTAGCCTGTATGAACCCTTTAAGGGGCTCCTGTGTCCTTTGACATTTATCCACCATTTTTTGAGCTTTCCTTTTAGGAACAATAGATGTTCCAGGTTCATCTTGTATTTCTCTGCTCTAGCCCTAACATTCCTCCAGGAGCCTTTCATATTTAGCTCTTCCACTGCTCCATATTTTTACTCATTTCACTTCTGAGTATATTCTCAAAACTGGTCTAACAAATCCTTTTACTGTTTGATGATTAATCACAAAAATGTATGGCCCGATTAGATCAATTTATGCTCAGCTCAACTTCATCTTTGGTTGGCTGTTTCTTTTTTCTTGAGACAGAGTCTCACTGTGTGCCGGGGCTAGAGTGCCATGGCGCCAGCCTAGCTCACAGCAACCTCAAGACTCCTGGGCTCAAGCAATCCTTCTGCCTCAGCCTCCCAAGTAGCTGGGACTACAGGCATGTGCCACCATGCCCAACTAATTTTTTCTATATATTTTTAGTTGGCCAATTAATTTCTTTCTATTTTTAGTAGAGACGGGGTCTCGCTCAGGCTGGTTTCAAATTCCTGACCTTGAGCAATCCTCCCGCCTCAGCCTCCCAGAGTGCTAGGATTACAGGCGTGCACCACCGTGCCCAGCCTGTTTCTTTCCTTTTTTAAGAGAGAGGTTCGTACTATTTTGTGCAGGCTGGTTTCAAACTCCTGACCTCAAGCAATCCTCCAGCACTGGCCTCCTAAAGTGCTGCATCTGGCCTATCTATGGCTACTTCTAAAGTATACTGTACTAAAAAAATCGTCATTAAAAACATTACAGAAGTGGAAATATGGGAGAGATCCCCAGAATGTTAAGCAATGCTATTGCACTCAAAGTATAGACTGTTAACAGAGTCTCATTTGAAAGAGGATAGCACACCTGGGGCATACACATATCTGTTTACACTTCTTTACTATACTTCACACCAATTTCTTCACATCTTGGTCACATGCTTATCACTGTTTAAAAACTTGCAAAGAGAAAACCTAAAATATTGCTACATACCAGTTTGGCACAGAAAGAGCCGAACTATACCAGATTAGCTGAGAAAGTGCCACCAGTTCACCTGCACTGCTGAATTTTCAGCTGAGCTAAAAATGTCTAGGCCAGCATAGACATTCTTAGAATTCCTGTGGCTCACCCTATTCTTGATATTCCATACCAAGCTTTAGGGAAAACTACCTCATTGTCTTGGATTCTAAAATCCTTTTCATCTTTTTATTACAATGGAATTCTTATAATTATTACAGTATGCTCTGCTTGAAACATTTTTATCAGTACTGCAAGGACTAGTAGAAATAGGAAAAATCTCAATAAAAAACATTTGTTGAAAGAAAATCATAGTAAAAGCAAACCTCCAAATACCCATTTATAGGCCATAAGAGTATAAGCACAACCATATATGGGAGGAGATAACCAGTCTCTCCCTTCATATATATTCTTTTTTATTTCTTGTTATACCTTCCCAAAACAGAGACATTCAACAGTAGTTAGAATGGCCATCTCCCAACATTTAAAAAACTGCACCCCCCAATGGGTGAACAAAGTAAAGAGTAGTAACCTAGAGTTCAGCTGAGTAAGCCACTGTGGAGCCTTAAGTGGTGAGGTCTTCCAATTTCAGAGTGATGTCTTCAACTTGTATCATTTTAGTGGAAAAACATAATTTAATTTTGCTGAAATGAGATTCATCTCCTGACAGGATTAGTAACAGCATTCACTGAATTTCACATTCTTCTTTTGTGAACTGTGAAGAAAATGAATGGTAGCTAGAAGAAGATCAATGGGATTCCAGCTCCAGCTGCAGATGGAATGAAGATATACCAGGACAAAAACACCTATATTTTGATTTACAAAACTAACAGCAGTTTTAAACCTGCAACTTAATTACAGACCAACTACACCACAACCTTTTCAAATGGCAAAAATACAAAAAAGTGTTACAAAAATATTTCAGAAAAAGTGCATAGTCTAAGTGCATAGTAAATAAAAGCACTGAAAAATATCTTGCTAGAGGGAGTTCAGCCTGGAAGTTATTACCAAAGCTAAACAATTTTATTTTACACAAACTATACTCAAAAATAGCTTTATGAGACTGATTTCTGGCTAAAAGTATCAAAGGGTTTATTAACCAAGAAACAAATACCTTAACTGACACAGGTGGATAGATAGGAAAGAAACAAAGAAGCTGCCCATCCCAAAATATCAGACTTATAAGATTTCTTCAGTATTACGGTACCAATATATCCCTTAATGGCAGAATGTGGCAATCATGGAATTAATTATTGCTAAAGTAGTTTTCAAATAAAAGGAAAAAAGAAAAAAAGAAAAAAAAAACAAACAAATTAAACCTGACACAATCTGACCAAATAAGTGTCAATTTACAATTTCAAGGTTATTTTACAAAATACCCACATTTACACAATAGGCTCCCGGCAGCATTTCCAGACAAATGTTCTTTTAATTTATCCTGACATGCTATAAATGAATAAATTACACTATTTAAAGAATAATCATCAGTAAGTTCCCCTTCTCTTGGGTCAGAGAAAAAGAAAAAAGCGTGCAAATAAGATTGAGAGAAAGAGCACGCATACAGGTAACTCGAAGAGACACAGGAGGGATTTAGGGAGGGTCAACAATCACTGAACCTCACACAGTGTTATGCTTTCCAAGGAAGTGACTCAACTGCTCATAGCCATTTCACAAGTATTTAAAAATAAACCGTTTTGTAGTCAAACCCTTTAACACTTTCATTCCTATTCGAAATCAGTCCAAACTGCTAGTCAGCGGGCAGGAGTTACAATACTAAGTTCTGGCAGTTGCAGTACTAGGTATTGTGCCTGCAAGTCATTAAGAAAAGAAAAATGAAAGAATGCTTTTCTCCTTCAGACAAAAAAAGTATTTTTAAAATTAAAAAACTGAAGAAAAGTTATAACACTAAATCTAAACTGACTTGCAAAGTAATACGTAACAAATGGCTTGATGTAGTCTATCAAAAAACTGGGGGAGATTTTTATTTCATAGTGAGCAAGGCAATTTGTTGTTTAAAAAAAATCTCATTTCCTTACAGAAACAGTTTTTAGTTTTTAATGAACTTGTAAACAAAAAAGCTCCCATTTCAGAATAAAAACAAAATCCCAGATCATATAGATGTTTACAGTGATTACATTTATCTAAGCAACATACATACATGTTCAGTTGTAGGATGTTAACTAAATTTCTGTGACAAATATGCTTTTTTTTTAATACCAAGAACATTATAGAGTTAATGCAGAGTCCTAAGGATAATCTAGTAGTCACTAAGTTTTTCTTAAGTCTTCACTTTAAATGCTGTTATTTCTAGCACAGGTAAGCAGGCAGAGTCTTTCATATGCTCAAACACTGGAATCTTTGGTTGCTACCATTATCAGCTGGCTTGCAGACAAGAAGCCAACCATTTTAAGAATGTTTTAAGTGAACAACTTGCAAACCCCAGGGATGGAAAAACCCTAAGAATGCACAATTGTGAGCATTTACAACCATCACAACTGTGGCTGAAGACTGTTCATGCCGTTCTTCTGAAATGAGATCTCAAAGCAGTATAGTTCAAAATAAAAGGTTTTAACAAAAAATTGGCATATGCACAATTTCTCCACCAATTTGTATGTGTCAACCATTTAGTTAACTTTTCCACTGAAAAAATGCAATAGAAAACCGGACACCATGTTTCACTATCTCAGTTAATATTCACAATTACAGCGGCTACAACTCGGGATACAGCATCACCAATGCTGCCCAGAGTCAGTTTATACTGAAATTAAGTTCTTTACACCAAGTAAATGGTTGTCCACAACCACTGGCTAGTGTACATATGAACTAAAATTTCTAGATTTGGGGAGAAACAAATGCTGTTCCAATCATCTGCTCTGCTTCTTCTGTTCCTCAATTCATGCTTAGAAACCTGGTAAAAAAAAATCAAAACAAAGAAAAGAACATTAAAATTCCAAGCTAAAAAGGTTTGTTTAAACTACACCCAAAATAGGAAATTGGGTGGAACTCGGCCTATAATTACTTTATAGTGGCTCATGTTATTTTCATCTATTTGAAAGTCATTAGCTCAACCTTTTACAACAGAAATACATGAATCTATAATTGAAACACATTTTTCTGTTTTAGATGACTCTATGAAGGAGCAGTGTACAGTGAATTAAAACTTCTCAGCATACAATTCTCAACCTAGAGAATTACTAGTAATTCAAATGAGCATTTTTGTATTTCTAAAAATACACCTGTATTTTTAGTGCCCAGAACATATTATATATTCAAATATTTGTAAAATGAATAATAGATTGCTTTAACAACTGAAGAGTACAGCTTTAATCCTATTATGAGCACAAACTTTTCTGCACACTGTTTCTCATATAAATTAAAAACAGTAAGCCTTAATAATAAATGTATTTAAGGCATAATTATGAGTTACTCCACTAAACACAGACTTCTGTATAGAAATATGACTTCTGTATAGAAACTTTAGCTAGACCATTAAAACTTCTTTACTTCCACAAACTGCATTTAAAACATTAAGTTTTACTCCTAATTTGAAAATGTAAACAAATGATGCTGTTTGGGCTCTGTGTACTTCTTAAGTCTTCCCATCCTGCATATCCTCCTCTCATCTCCTAGAAGTAGACAGACCCTAAGGCTTCTAAAGGCAAGTTGGAATACAAGAAGGCTTCAGGCCATAGTAACTTGTATGCTTTATCTACAGGTAAAGGCAAAGAGAATAAATATGCCTATCTCTTAGGAATAGCCTGAAAATCCCATAAGCACCTTCTTCCCCTCATCTACAGCCACTCTTTCTTTGAGGTGCCAATGCCCTTTTATTCACCCACTCCCAAACCCTTATAGACCTAATTATAGCTCATTCTAGCCTACTCTGATCTCTCCTCACTTTCTTTAGCACAAGTCATGCTCTCCTCACTCAAACTGCTCCTTTTCTTTTACTTCTCAAACATTTGTTGAGCCATCTCCTATGGGCTTCATGGGACAAATAAAATACATTTCTATTATTTACTTTTTATCCACATTTATGCCCTTGTTTTTGAAAATAACATCAAATATTTATACACTGTTTCTTGCCAAATATTCTCTCACTTGTTAACTAGGAACTTTTTCACTTGAGAGTAGAAACAATCATCTTCATTAATTTATAAATAAATATACTGTGCCAAGCCCTGAGGACAAAAATATGAGTGCCTTTACTTCTTTGATAGCCACTTCTCACAGTGGCTATCAAAGTAGGTGCATAATAGACCTTTGCTGCCTGGATGCTAAGTCCATAAACAGTAAATGCCAAAAATGGAAGATGATGAAACTTTGAGAATGTACTTCACCACAGGGAATATTTTCTATTTGATGTATGTTACTAAATAGGATTAATAAGTTTCACATTTAAAAAGGATGCCAAATAAAGCCACAATTAAATTTAAAAATCTGACTATAGTATGACCTAATTCCAATGTTGCAATACAGAATAAGAAGCTATGCAATCTCAAGAAGTAGAATAGATAAAAAAGAAGAAAAAGAAAAAAAAAAAAAAAAAGAAGCTATGCAGGTTAAGAAATTATGGATTAGCTAAACAGAAATGACCTTTACCCCATCAGGACTTGGTTTCAACTCCTACAATTATTCTTTAACATGACAAAAAGAAACGTGTTTTCTTAACTACTAAAATCATTGGTTTTTCTTTTATCATAGTTTGCTTATGCTTCATTACAGTGAATTATCAGATTAAGATGAATATATCAAATGGCTTTCAAAAGGAAAACCATCACCACTAACAAACTAAAAAGGAAACATAAGTTACACTGTCAAACTATTAGAAAACTAGTGTCTTTAATAACAGTGAAGCTCTAGATAAGAATTATCTGTTCATTTTTTAATCTGATATTTGAGGAATTTCTGGGTCAATTAACAATTACAACTGTTTAGGAATTGGTTAAAAGCTAGCCTAACAATATTCCAGGTAGAACAGAGCAGTCAAATCCAGATTTAACTCTTCAGATGGGCCAATGGTAAGATACTCCACCCGAAGATCAATGTTTCTCCAGTGAACCGTCCTAAAATGTCATTGAAGTTTGTTTAAGAAAAACCTCCAAAGGAACATCTAGTAGGTATTCATCTTTCAATCTTCAAGTACTAAGCATTCTTTCCCCCAATGTGCATTAGTCCTTGGTTTTAATCTTGCTAATTGAGTGGCTTCTGCTGTCCAAGAGTTCAAAAACCCATCTTCACTGTAACATCAGTTAAAATGAGGGATGAATCCCCTTGTTCCTAAAGAAAAAAGAAGGGAAAAAAAGGTTACAAAACGAAAAAAATATTTATTTTTATATCGCAAGATTCTATCCTTTAATCTAAAAGGTATCTGTTCTTATTTGTAAATTAACTTCAGATGCCCCTGATTTTTTGTTTTAGCAGAACCAGAAACCAGTTTAAAGGGTTATTAAGTAGTAGTGAATTTCAGTTCCTTTCATAGTATAAAGAAAGACAGGCCTGACTGGGCGCGGTGGCTCACACCTGTAATCCTAGCACTCTGGAAGGCCAAAGTGGACGGATTGCTCGAGGTAAGGAGTTTGAAACCAGCCTGAGCAAGAGCGAGACCCCGTCTCTATTATAAATACAAAGAAATTAATTGGCCAACTAATATATATATATATAGAAAAAATTAGCTGGGCATGGTGGCTCATGCCTGTAGTCCCAGCTACTCTGGAGGCTGAGGCAGAAGGAGTGCTTGAGCCCAGGAGTTTGAGGTTGCTGTGAGCTAGGTTGACGCCATGGCACTCATTCTAGCCTGGGCAACAAAGAGAGACTCTGTCACAAAAAAAAAAAAAAAAGAAAAGAAAAGAAAAAGAAAAACAAGAAAGACAGGCCAGGTGTGGCAGCTCCTGCCTGTAATCCTAGCACTCTGGGAGGCTGAGGCGGGAGGATCTCTTGAGCCCAGGAGTTTGAGGTTGCTGTGAACTAGGCTGATGCCTCGGCACTCTAGCCTGGGCAACAGAGCGAGACTTTGTCTCCAAAAATAATAAATAAAAAAAAAGACATAACTTTTTTTTGATACAGAGTCTCACTCTTTGTTTTTTTTTGAGACAGAATCTCGCTTTGTTGTCCAGGCTAGAGTAAGTGCCGTGGCGTCAGCCTAGCTCACAGCAACCTCACACTCCTGAGCTCAAGCAATCCTCCTGCCTCAGCCACCCGAGTAGCTGGGACTACAGGCATGCACCACCATGCCCGGCTAGTTTTTTCTATATATATTAGTTGGCCAATTAATTTCTTTCATTTATAGTAGAGACGGGGTCTCACTCTTGCTCAGGCTGGTTTCGAACTCCTGACCTTGAGCAATCCGCCCGCCTCGGCCTCCCAGAGTGCTGGGAACAGCGCCCGGCCAGAGTCTCACTCTTGTTGAGTGCTGTGGCGTCAGCCTAGCTCACAGCAACGTCAAACTCCTGGGCTCAAGCGATCCTCCTGCCTCAGCCTCCTGAGTAGCTGGGACTACAGGCATGCACCACCATGCCCGGCTAATTTTTTCTATATATATTAAGTGGCCAAATAAATTCCTTCCAATTATAAGAAAAAACGGGGTCTCACTCGTGCTCAGGTTGGTCTCGAACTCCTGAGCTCAAACAATCCGCCCACCTCGGCCTCCCAGAGTGCTAGGATTACAGGCGTGAGCCACCGCGCCCGGCCCATAACTTTTTAAAAGTTATTTTGAATACAGTATTCACCATACAATGCTATTTATATCAACATGCTAGTGTGCTTCTTTTGGTCACGCAGAATTAAGGTTGGAAACTTGTGAATCAGATTAGCAGTATCTAAAGTTAAAGAAAAAATTACTGGCTGGGTGCAGTGGCTCACGCCTGTAATTCTTGCACTCTGGGAGGCTGAGGCAGGAGGATCGCTCAAGGCTCACCGTCAGGAGTTCAAAACCAGCCTGAGCAAGACCGAGACCTGTCTCTACTAAAAATAGAAAGAAATTAATTGGCCAACTAAAAATATATAGAAAAAATTAGCTGGGCATGGTGACGCATCCCAGCTACTCAGGAGGCTGAGGCAGGAGGATCCCTTGAGCCCAGGAGTTTGAGGTTACTGGGAGCTAGGCTGATGCCATGGTACTCTAGCCCGGGCAACAGAGTGAGACTCTGTCTAAAAAAAAAGAAAAGAAAAAGAAATAGCAAAATATGAAATTAAAATAACTTTCCCTTTGTTACAGAAAATAAAAAGTATTAAATTGAGAAAGATAAAGAAAGTATTTTATTTTTATCACTATAAATGATATAAATGGCAATTTAAGCATAGCAGGTAGGTAACATTCCTAAATTACATTAAAAAACATACTGATAATCTGAATTCTTTTGTCTTCCCTATTACAGAATTCATTCTACTATAGATTTCAGAGGTTATTGAGTTTTAAAATACCTGTTAGAACTGACTCCTCCCCCAAGGTAGATGGTCTGCATTAAACACCACTGAGTCACAGCAACACTGTATTCTTCTAGGCCTTCTGACAGTTGTATCACCCAAACAATTGACAAGTTGCAACGTTTAGTAGGTCCAGGAAGCCTGGGAGATGTGGGTTCCAGATGAGCACAAATCAACTCTTGCACTTTTATGTGCATTTCTTGTTGAGTTATTTAGTTCTTTTCTCTCCAGCTTTATTGTCCACAGTGAAAAAGCTGACAAAAACTCAAGATCTCAGCAAGCAGATGTGGTTCTTTGGTACTTCTTTGGATTGAATATATTCAGAGCAGGTCAGTCTCCAGATATTTCAAGATCTTCCCCTGTGATTTGGGTTACGTTGCTGAGTGACCAGCATGTTCCTTAGCAGCAATTGATCAGAAAAAGTTAAGCTAGACATAAATGGTAGGTAAAGCCCAGTGAATACTAGAAGGTAATTCAAGGAAGAGCATGGATATGGCAGGTTAACATGAAGGAAATTATTTCTAATCTCCTTTAAAAGCCAACAATTTGACATCTATCTATATCATCATGATAAAACTATGCTTAGCATTGTGGCTGGTGCAGTGAACAGATGGGTTAAGTAAGAAGTTATAAGAGTAGAGAATATAAGTATGTGAGGATGCACCTTTGGCTTCACCACCTTCTGAAATTCTCCCCCACCTCTGCCCTCAGTAAACTTAACTGGATTTTGAATGTCATAAAAATACTTCTTTTTCTTCTACTACTTTTTAAGTATCTTGAAAAATACTTTTCTTGTAATCACATATAGTTGAAGAAAATTGAGTGAAATGGATTTGGAAATGTGTCAGGTGTGGATCTTATATATTTTTCTCTCTCAAGTATGAATTAAAACAATCATAATTTTGTGGTACTTGAGCACTGAAAAACTAGTGCAAATCAGAATGGGCACCAGGAGAAAAGCTTTGTTTCTTGGTCTTTTGGATAGGCTTTGGGATGGAGTATTTTAAATGATCCAAAGAAAAGTAATCAAGACAGAAGTCTGCCTATTACATAATAAGCCCACATTAGCTAAATAAGCTACACTTTAGGGACTCTTTGGGCATTCTTGGTGAATTGCTGAAATAACTTAAAATTTTCCACAAAGAAACCTTAGATTCAGATTTTTTCAAAAATAACCATATAAAATACATTAGCGAATGCCACCATTTGGGGAATTTTTCCATAATTTCTGCAATAGAGATCTACTTGCTGAAGAATTTATGAAACTTAATTTATTGATCTGAAAGTATAACTTCATGAAAAACAAACAATAAAATGCATTATAAAAAGTACTTTCTAAAATTTCTAACTATAAAAATATAACATGGTATTTTCATCATCATTGAAAAGATTCCTTGGCATCAATTTATCACTGAGCTGTATGAGCTCTTTCTTAAATAAAAATCCACTGCAGTGGACCCTAAGATATTATGCTTTTAAACACCCTTTTTGCTTACAGATTGAAATCAGGAATAACCTAGAGCAGTTGTTTTCAAACTCCAGACTTCCTAAGATTTCTTAAGGGATGACCCAGATACTGAGTTGGGGGTAGAGGTTAGGGGAATGGGCTCCTCATGTTTATTTCCATGCCACCCTCAGACCAGGGTCACATTTTCATAATTTTATATATAGAGGGTTTTGTGAAAGATTCGTTTGGAGCAATAAGTTCTGTGCCCAAAATAACACAGATGTTTCCAAGAAGTCAAAGGGTAAAAAGGATTATTATTGGTACTATGTTAATTGGCACAATTCAGTAGCAAGTGATATTTTGCTTGGAGTCAAAATACAGTGCCTAGACATACATCTCTGTCATGATATGTGCTGATGTTTTATAAAAAGCCTAATTCTTCAGAATGTTACAAGCCCATGTTTATGAAATAATTTGTATGACCACTGTGTCTAATGATGCTATGAAATTTTTACAGGATTTTTAGTTGCTGTTATGAAAAATAGCTACAATACAAAATAAGGATTAAATTTAAGTTTAATTACAATTTTTTTTCAAGAAAACATACTAACTCAGTGGATCCAACTTCTCCTCTTTAAGACCTAGATAAGGCGGGACAAAAATTCTGCTTATTTATTGAGTAAGAGATAAAATAGTAAACAAACAATAAAACACTCAAAAAAAGGTAATTCTTTCTGAAGGCTGCTAAATGCCTGAAGTGATGTTCTAGGTCAGAAGATTTCAATCTAATTTTAGTTCTAGAAACTGCAATTCATGATGATCCTATTATCCCAGCTAGCTTTATGCAAAAATTGGTTTCATTTTGTAAGAAAACACTATAACAAGTCCTCAGTTTAGAGACTCTACTTGGTCTTACCTAAATGGTAGGACAGTTTCGCAGTGGCATTAGCTATCTACCTCATTATAAACTTCTTGGCACTATGTTTAGTTCACACAATGATTACAACACTGAAAAGGGGCAATTAAGTATCAACAGAGATGCAGAGGCAGAGCATTAGTGTTTGCTATCCTGAGCTTAAATTTCACCACCTGAAAAGTCCCATTACATTAAATCTTCAATTTTGAATCCTTCCCCAATACAGAAATATGGAAGTGAAGCATCTCAACTCCATTCCTAACAGATGAGCTGCTGGGATGAGGATGACATCAGTTAATTATATTTCTTGAAAAGTATCCTCAGATTAGAAATTATTTTAAAATCATAATCTTGTTTAAATACAATGCTAAAAATATGGAACAAAGATTAATTTGTGAAGGCCAAGTTCAGACTAGAGCAGTCATTCAGAAATTTAAAAATTAGAAACCAAATCTTACCTGCCCACTACTTCGAGAAAGTAGGCAGGTATCAGGAGGTAGACCCCAGAATGGGGCAAATAAAAACAAACAAAACAACATGAAAAGAAGAGTTGAACTGTATGGCAACAGTGATAAGAAATAAAGCTGTGCCCTAACAGTTCTACTCCTCACAAGCACTAATAGTGCTAATGACAGAAAGGAAATAGAGCAGTTTCAATGGCATTTGCCCCAGTTATCTTCAATATGCAAGGCCTAACTGCAGACTTCTACTTCACATGAAACACCTAGAGCCTGATATTTCCAACATTTTCAAAAACAAAGCAAAAGCAAATAAACCATTTTGAAACTAAGTTCATATGTAGTTAAATTGCAAGTATGAACAATTTATTTTTGTAACTATGAAAGCTGTGCCAATAAACTTTGCAGTTATTTGAGCATTTAAGAAAGTAAACGAGGTGCTCTGCAACGGAGAAGACACTATGAGGGCAAAGCCAGACTCACCTCTTGAAATTAGATTTTCTTCACAATTTTCCATTTTAAATGCTAAAGCATTAACATGCAAAACATTCTTAACACTGTTAGTCTGAAAGAAAGTCAAAATACCATGGCTAACCAGATTCATTATTAAAAATCAACAAGTGTTAGGTCTAGGATTTTGGATTGATTGATTATATTATATTATATTCCCAACACCAAATGTTTATTTTGGAAAAGGGTTAATGAATGAGTAAAAAAGATGCAGTTGTTAAAAATGACCCAAAATCCCAAGAGAAATGATATAATATACACACATATATGTATATACAAATATATATACATATATATGAACAAGGACATTTGGGTTTAAAGTTAGTAGTCAAATTTTCCAAGGACGTCTTTTTTTTTAAACACAGAGCCAAATTTTTATGTATTTTAAAACCACCTCCTTGATCTAACACTGTTAGAAATGAATGAATTACCCAATTTTGTTTCAATTTTTTCCCTGTAACGTCACTTGGTTCTTGGCTACTAACCTTTCATGTTACTCTTGGTTTTGTCAGTTTGCTTGCCTGTGGGGGTTTGGGCCTGCTGACCCTGCCCACTGGAAGAGGCTGCCTGCTGTGCTGCTTTCTGCTTTAACATTGTCCAATCAAATGTGTAGTCATATTGGTGGTTCAGGGTCCTGCAAAAAATACGTTTATGTATGTTAATCCTTTAATAACAATCTGGTTAAATAACTTGACTTACCATGAATATTTCCTCTTAATCGTGGTAACTTCTAAAAAATTTCTCTCCCTATAGATGATTTTTTTAACACTGCTACATATTATAATTGAGGAAAAATGATGTCACCACTCTAGTCTGTTGTATTGCATAAAAACAAGTCCTCTCCCTTTTTAAAATAAAAGCTGCCTATAAACTTCCTTGAAAGAAGCAGTTGAGTGGCAATGAAAAAGCAGTGTGAAAAACTAAAGCACTGAGCCAAGCAATCATTTATCTAGGGCAATATTCGCAATAGGAGGTACACTTCCTAGAAATAATTCAATGTAGATATGGAAGTAATTAAATGTAGGTAGGGAACTGAAAGTCTGTGAGTGAAATATCTGTGCCAGTGCCTTGGGAAGACATTTTTGGGGTTAAAGGATTACTTCAATTCTTACCCTCTTCCAACTAAGAGTTTGACTATATGTGATTTATTTGTTCCCCCTTGTTTAAGACTGATCCTGGGGTGTACCTAAGGAACCCTACTTTCAGACTGCTTCCACACTATCAGACTCCATGGCTAAATATATCATAATTGCTTTCTTATTTAGTAGTGAATAGTCTTTGGTACCAAAGCTGGAGAGTTCCTGGGGGTACTGACAGCCACTTTTATCTAATGTGAATTACAGTTATTTTAGAAAAGTTAGATCTTGCTTTGAGTTTGATTCAACTGTCTCTCCATTCCAAACTAAAATAATCTCAAGGATATTTGCACTACACAGACAAATGCCAACTTAGCCAAAAAGAAATCTGTTTCTTTATAACCTTTATTCATATTAGTTAGATCTGCTTTACTTTAGTTTACCACTTATCGGAACAGATATGTTACATGAATTTAACCAGTTTCGTCTTACTAGAGTTTGCAGTCTTAAAAATACCTTAAAAACTGACCTGAAAAGAATGCGGAATAGCTGCCTCAGATACATGTAATCCGGGGCTTCCTCAAAGCGCAGCCCACGACAATAGTTTAAGTACATGGCAAATTCTGCAGGAAACCCCTATAAGTTCAAGGATTAAAACAAAGTAAAGAAAAAAAAAATTTAAGACAGGAAAATAAATGTATTTAAGCACAAGTAAAAAATGTATTTAAGTATGGTATTTTACCACTTTGTAGGACGATGTGAGGGCTAAAAATGATGACTTGGTTTTCTTATAAATTTAAACAAAATTTCATCATCCTACCCATTCTATTACGAACAATAACTTTTTATATTGGTAGGTAAAATACTACATACTATGTTCTTAAATAATTTAGATATCCCACTTTGTTGGTTTTTTATTTTTTTTGAGACAGAGTCTCACTTTGTGGCCTGGGCTAGAGTGCCGAGGCATCAGCCTAGCTCACAGCAACCTCCTGGGCTCAAAGGATCCTTTTGCCTCAGCCTCCCAAGTAGCTGGGACTACAGGCACGTGTCACCATGCCCAGCTAATTTTTTCTATATATATTTTTAGTTGGCCAATTAATTTCTTCGTATTTTATAGAAGAGATGGGGTCTCACTCTTGGTCAGGCCAGTTTCGAACTCCTGACCTTGAGCAATCCTCCCACCTCAGCCCCCTAGAGTGCTAGGATTACAGGTGTGAGCCACCTACTTGTTGATTTATTATATTATCAAAGTATAATAATCCAATGGTGATAATGAATAAATGGGAAAAATGGAGGGCAGTAATGATTCTTTGTCAGAACATGATAGTGAATATGCACTTTCTGCCCACCCTCAGAAGTTGATTTTTTTCACAAAAGTACTCTCTACCATTAAAAAAAAATTGCCCAAACCGAAAGCTACAAAGCTACCACTATTAACATTTGTGATATGTGTCGATGAATACATTAGGTTTTTCTTTTCTTTTCTGTGTAACTGTTATCCTGTTGCATACATAATATATTCTGCTCTGTTCCATTAACATTATATTGTAAGTATTCTTTTATGTTATTTCCCACCTCTTCATAAACATCTGAATGGCTGCATGTTATTCTACTGAGTAAATATACCCTAATTAACTTGTTCCCTGTAATTGAACATTCAGGTGGATTCTAATTTTTCTCTATTATTATTAACAATACTGCTAAGAACATCTGTGGGCATAAATGTTCTTCACATTTAGTTTCTTAGGAATGATTCTGAAAGATATATAAACGTTTTTAGGGCTATAGACATTAGTCACCAAAAGGATTTTGCCATCAGCTGTGTAGAAATGCAAAGCATTAAAACATAGCACAAACCTCTCATCCTCCCCTGTGGTAAATTCAAATGTAGAAGAGAGGTAAAGTTAAAGGAGGTGTCTCTTCCCACAACCTTACAATTTTGAGAAATTTCTCATATTCTGGGGTCACAGCAGGATAAAATGGAAATACCTGCAACATTTTTTACTGATTGCGCTGATGTTAATATATTAGTTTACAAAGTACTCTTATGCTTATTTCATTTGTTGGGTGACCAATTGAAACTGAAGTAATTTAGATATACTATACATTTTTTAAAAACTTTTTTTTTTAATTTTTATTCTTTCTTTCTTTCTTTCTTTTTTTTTTTTTTACAACATGACACATCAGGGTAAGTACACATTTTTTAAAAACTCTTAATAGGACTTTTAAATTATTTACATACATTAATGGTCTGTGTTAATGGGAAAGAGCATAACCATGAGACTGAAAACAATCCCACTAATTATATTAAGTCATACTTCTGTGTTGACTCCATACTGAATCAATTATTTACAGCTAATCCAAAAAGGCACAGTTCACAACTTCCAGATCAAAGAAGCCCACAAGCAAAGAATGAGCTAAATCCTCTCCCTTTTCCCTATAAAAATGGCTGACGTTTCCAGGGAATCAATGAATCTTTCTCTTGTATAGAGACAGTACTGCACAGAAATTATGTTTTGCTTTCTGAAGGTATATAGACTTAAAAAATTTATCTGGGCAGAATATACATGCCAATATTTTATTCACTGACCTCAAATGTATTTCCTAATTTAAAACAAACCCCAAAGGGTTTCAGAAAAGATCATAATCTCCCATCCATTCCTCCCTTGTTGTTGCAGATATGCAGAAAAGGAGAAAGCAAATTTGAGGATGGCAAGACACATAAAGATATCTCCATTTACCTGCCTTCCACAAAGCACTATCTTAACACTCACTGATCCCTCCTATTACTTAACTATTTATCTGTATACTATTTTCTAATTAATTCCAGGCATAAAATTCTTTCTCGTCTCAAATTAGAACATATGGCCTTCCTTCTATGGAAGAGATTATGGCTATTCATCCTAATGAATACCTCTCCATTCTTAAACTCACCTCCTTTCTATGGAGTTTGAAATTTCAAAGAAATGAGCCTGTCTTCTATATTTCTTCTGTATTGTTGAATAACTGCTATTTTGGCTCCAATCTGCCTGCCTATTTTCCTATTCCTTCATGTATCAATTGCTGATATCCCTTCTTTTCTGGCACTAGTTTAGGAATAAGGAGAATTAATTTATTAATTTAATTTTTCTCATCAATTAATGAGGTTCTACTAGAAATGTTTACCTGCCCTGCTAATTTTCTCCCAATTTTTAACAGATTAAAGAGCCAAATCAAACCAGAAACACAAAACACTTCATATGCCAAGACATTGTTAGTAAAATGTTTTTGTTCTTGGATGATATTTATACTTTAAATAATATTCATCATGCATACTTACCTTACATAAAACTTCAACAGGAGTGGACATCTTTTTTTCACTAATCTTTTCATATTTTTGTTTCTTTGTTGCAGCCTGTGGAATCAAATCATAAAGATCTACTCAGTACTACTTAGTAGAACCTGCACAGTTCAACACATTGGGCATATATAAACATATACTTGAAATTCAAGAGAAATTTTAACCCAGAATTAAAAAGAAATCCAAGTATAATACATCTAAATATTTTTTCCTCTAAACTGTTAGGTAACTTTTTGATGTATCTACTTCAAGAACATAATTTTAGCTATTAGGAAAGGGTGAATCTAATAGGATCGTCAGGAGGTGAGATTTAAGTAAAAATAGGTGGTGTCAAATTTAGAAACCATTTTCTATCTTTTTTGTTGCTGCTGTTTTTAGAGACAGGGTCTCATTATGGTGCCCAGGTGGAGTGCAGTGGCCTGATCACAGCCCACCGAGGCCTTCAACTTCTGGCAATCAAGTGATTCTCCTGCCTCAGCCCCCCAAGTCGTTGGGACTACAGATGCATGCCACTACACCCAGCTTAAGAACATTTTCTTAATCTATGATTAATACAATGGCAAAGGCATAAAGCAGATCAATACAAAAAATGTGTTTATTATTTAGTGACATTAATAACTGGAGTTAACTGTAAGTCACCAACTGTTTTCCAATATAACAATATTCATGTTGGATAAAGCTACCCACATAAGAACTGAGAGCACTGTGCCTAGCTAGCAGCCTCTCAATAAATACAGTGACCTTTTCCTTTTAAAGGACCAATAAAGTATCAAAGTAGACATTAAATTTTAAGACACAGTGATTTATCATTACACACTCACAAAAATAATGGTGAAACTCCCACTTAATAGAAACAAATGTTAGAATAATTGCATAAATAATATAGCTGGTATTGCTGGACAAACAGGTTTTACTGCATATAAAAACAAACATTTTTAATATAATGGCAACCCATCAAAATAAGAACGTTTCCAACTTTCTTAGCCCATGTCAACTTTCATCTAGATAGAGCAAGTGGTTACCAATGGGTACCAGCTTCCTGTCTTCAAAGGAACTTGTTCTTCTTCAACAGTGACTGTGGGATTCTATTAATTAAGTTCTTACTAAAATGATCCGCTTTTATTTTCCCAAATAAAAGGCAAAAGTAAATTAAACTTAGTTCAATTGCAGAAAAATCTCAGAATTGGAAAGATCTCAGATGTTATCTTCTCTAATGTATATTTCTATTCTTTATACAAAAACCCCAAACTAGTAACGTAAGTACGATTTACCTTTAGTCCTTGCCATGGCAGGCTGGTTCTATTAAAATACATCAAAACATATCCTAATGATTCCATGTCATCTCGGCGACTAGAAAGACAATATAATTTTATGAAGTAGAGCTATTATGCAAAACATGCAAGAAAGCCAAGTACAGAGAAGAAATTTTCCCAAATGAGGAGAAAGAGCTATTTGCTGTCTTATGCAAGAAGGCACTTGTTAAGGTATTAAAAAAGCTTATGTGTTACCTCTAAATGAACTTTTCTCAAACTCCAAAATTATGTAAACCAATAGTCTTACAATTTAATTTTTAAAGAACAAAAAAGGACTTAAACTGTATAAGTGAGGTGAATGAAAAACAATACAGTAAACAGAACACTTGTAAGTTTTGCAGAAGCTCATTAAGATAACTTTAGGAATGCTGAAATGAGTTAACACTTTAAAGCTAATTAAACATCTATGTGAATGCATGTATATATACATACATACAAATACATATTTAGATAGATACAAATATTTTAAGGATAGGTAATACTTTGCCATACAGAAAATGTGAAATTACAGCTTAACCTAGGGTATTCAGATATTTATGAATGTTTTCTAAGCTTGAAATTATTCTCATGAGAAACCAGGAGTGGTAGTTCATGCCTATAATCCCAGCTATTTGGGAGCTGAAGCAGGAGTTCAAGGGTGCAGTGAATTATGATCACACCACTATACTCCAGCCTCAGCCACAGAGGTAGGGAGGGGAAGAAAAGAAAGAATGAAAGAAGTTGTTTCATGAGGTCCCCTAACCTGGAGACATATCTTATTATTTTTATGCTTGTTTTAAGGAGCAAATATATGATTGGTAAAAGGCATAGAGAATTTGAAATTACAGAACTCACATGATGAAATAGGAAGAGAGGAGAGATTATGAATTTTTTTTTTTTACTTTAAACTAGATCTCACAAATTTATGTATTTGAGTGAAAGAGTATAACAGGAGATAGTGAGATAGTCCAACAATCAATCCCTTTTGGTTTATTAGGGCAATCGTAACATTTCCCTTGTAAAAATAAACAATACATTCTTCCCAAAACTCAATTTGCATCACTAAAATAAAAGGCACAAGATCAGTATTTAAAAAAAACAGGTACTATACTATCTTCAGCTGTTATAAAAAAAAAAAGCCAAATTTTTATCTATGCTTCCTTGATTTTCCATCATGTAATATTTTCTCCCCTAGAGACAATCTTCAACAAAGAAAACAAAAGATCTCATTTAACTGGCTTCTCTGTACTGGCTAAAGTAGCAGATAAAACCATTAATAGACATCCTTCAAATCCTCAATCCTCAGAAATTGTAAGAAACTAATCAAAATACTTCAAAAATCTCATTTATGGCTTCTGTTATAGATATGGCTACGTACAATTTTCAAACTCACCTCTGCTCAATACCAAGATGTGCATTGATGCTAGCATATCGAGCTGTGCCAGTAAGGTTTTTATCTTCTCTGTATGGTATGTGTTGCCTTGTCCTGTTGTCTCTGTACTTTTTGGCCAAACCAAAATCAATAAGGAATAACTTTAAGAGAGAAATAAAGAGACATTAGGTTTCCATACTTGTTCAATTAAACTGCTTCTTATTCGTTAAATGGCATGTATTCTGTATATTCACATATATCAAAATAAAGTATCATAAGTAGAACAGAAAATGCATAGACTTAATACCCTAATAGGCTTTTACTAATCCTCATCAATAAATCAAGTTAAAAAAAAATACAGTTAAGTCTAGTAGTTTATCCTTGTCATTTGCAAATTTCACAGGCCCAGTTCACTATACACTCATGAGCCTGTCTCTATAAAATAAGTGGAGAAATGTATACATGTCTGACAGCAGAGCTGACAAGCGTGCTGTTTGCCATAATGACACCTGATATCCTGTTATTGGTAAAAAAGCATGAGGTTTCAAAATCTAGACATAAGTTATCTTGAACTCTTCAATAGAACACTTGTTATCTAAAATAGATAACCCTGAAAGTTTGATATTGCCAACAAACCCAAGACTTTTCATTAACAAAAAACACTACTTAGCACTGACATTATGCATGTGATCAGGTTAAAATTCTGAATAACAAACTGAGGTAAAAATCCTTAAAAAGGCACTTAGCATTTAAATCAAGGTGGTTTACAACAGTCTAAATGAGCTAACTAAAAACAAAAGTAGTATTTTAAAACAAAGTAACACGCAATACTATCTTGTCTACATGGTACCCAAGGATTAAGGCACCCATTTAAAATGTAGTTAACGTTTCTAAGTAATTCAAGTTTATGCTACAGAATTTAAAACTTTAAAAGAAAAAAATATTTTTGATGATAAAGAAATACAAAATATATTCACATTTGCCTCCCTTTTAAAGTAAAATAATCTTTACTTAAAATTTTGGCTTATCATAAACTCATTAGACTACACTGTAATAAAATGTCAACAAAGATTACTGAGTTGGGCCCTTACACTATATAGCCCTAGACTATTGTTCTTTTCTAGGTATATCTGATTTTTGTAGTTCTTTCCATTAGGCTATTGGGTCCCTTCTGCTAGTTTATAATCTTGATGTGCTGGGAAATCCAATCACCTAACCTGTGGGGTTTCCATCAATATATAAATAAAGCAGTTTACTGATTTCGGTTAAAAAGATCTGACCAAGTACCTCTCTTAGGAGAATGAGTAACATCTATTTCAGCCAGACACTGTAACCTATTCTCAATTATACTTTGTATCATAAAGACACTAATACTTGAGCTTCTGTCACTACGTCAACAACAATTATTTTCACTTGATCTACTATAAAAAGAATGAAGATTAAATTATTAGTGAATGCAATTGGATAATGAAAGCTCTCTAAAGAGATTAAACCACCTTCCTAAGCAAGGAAGTAATTTTAGGAAAGTTAGTATTATAGAACACTAAGAGAAATAAAGCTCTTCACACGGTGTTTCTTTTGATAAGAAAACCAGCTCAGTACAGAAATATTAAAATGAGCAAATCATACTTCTGTTAAGCCAAACAAAAATGACGATTAAGCTCTATAGATTCATATAGAAAAGAAAACATAGGGAAAATAAATGCAAAGGACACTCGGCTGCATGGTATTTTTAAAATATTCCTAAGAAATATGTGGATTTGTATGAGCAGTGATTAGCACATAGAATTTCCTCTAGGGGATATTTTCTAGGATTGCTTCCTTTACAACTTCAAAATGAAGGAGAAAAAGGGAAGAGCTGTCATGACATAAGTATGTATAATAATTTCATTCATGTCTAAATCTACATTCAATAGCTCCATTTTCAACTCAATAACCAGATACTTTCTCACAAGCAAAAAGATTGCTTTGTAGAAATTCAGTGTTCACTGGAGAGTTCTATCCTTCTACAAAGCTAGAGGAGGAAACCTTATTTATCAAGAAAACTGAAAATATATATACATTATCTTCTTAAATATCTCAATCTTTAATATCAGAACAAAAAAATAGAAGCAAATGAATCAATTTTTCTCTTATAAAAACTTTAAAGTCAGGGGGAAAAATGTCACTGCTGAACAAAGGTATCCTAGTCTCAGCAAACAACTGAAAGGAAAACTACTTAAAGTAAAAATAAAATATCTCTTGGTAGTTCATTACCTTCGGGTACCTAGCAAGCTTCTTTTGTAGCTCTCTGTATATTTTGAACTTAAAAACAAATATAAACACAAAAAGGAAGTGTTTACAAGCATACAACCAAAAGCTGTGATATGTAAAGGCAGAATCAAGCGAGAAAAAGTCAGTATCCAATAAGCATACATAATGTATTTTTTAATTTATTATTATTTTTTGAGACAGAATCTCACTCTGTTGCCCTGGATAGAGTGCAGTGGGGTCATCTTAGCTCACTGAAACCTCAACCTTCTGGGCTCAAAGGAGCCCAGCCTCCGGAGTAGCTGGGATTACCGGCACATGCCACAGTGCCCAGCTAATTTTTCTGTTTTTGACAGGCATGGGGTCTCAATCTTGCTCAGGCTGGTTTGGAACTCCTGAGCTCAAGCAATTCTCCCACCTCTTCCTCCCAGAGTGCTAGGATTATAGGTGTGAGCTACCGCGCCAGGCCAAGACAATATTTTTACAGGCTTATATGTGCAAAGACACAGGCAAATTTCTTTGGTGGGCCAAGCTGCTTTTTTGTAGATTTTTATAATTACACATTGTGAGTAAATTTTATGCCTGTTTTTAAAAATGCAGCCTATTCTTAAAAGGCACATGAAAATGAGTTATTGTTTGATAAATTAAGGTAAATTCCATTCAGTAGAGGTACACTGTCTTCAAAAACACTATTGCTAGTTTTAGTTTTCAGTACCTGCAGCAATTTTTCTAATCAGGGGTCATGTTTACCCTTGCCCTTCCAAAAAATTCACAACCTACCTAATCTGTATATACAAACAATTTAATACAAATTTATAGGTAAATTATTAAATGATTATGCTATAAAATTTAAGTCAAATGTGTGAATGAATGAGTAAAGATGAGGCACTAGAGCTTTAAAAAATTATATTCTTACAACGTGCCTAATTATTCATCTGCTCTATCTTCCCAACTAAAATCTACTCAAAATAATTGGTACTACTTTGCCTGAATAAAAATAACTTGTGGTCCCTGGAATAAAGCTGGGCAGTATGGAAAAGAGTTAAATGTTTACCCAGATGATACATGATGTGGATAATTAACCTATTACCAATGTTTTTTCTTTTTTGATTATTCATGCCAATAATACCTCCTTTTCACCATAATACTAAATTGAATGATTAAGATTCATTTGTTCAGGAGTGTCAAAATTTAGGTACATAAATTTTGTGATTAACAAAGCATTTATTTTCCTTTGTCTTAAAAATCCCATCTTAAAAAGCTAACTTTTATAAAAGTGAAAGAAAATACGAAGAGTTCTGCTTATACTTTCTTTAAAAATTTAGAAAATTACTATCCTGCCAAAAACTAAATCATCAGGTTATGCATTCATTTAACTTATCTTAACATATTATAATACTAATGGTAATCTACCATATAGTTTGATAAGTGTTTAAATTATGTTACTGTTATATTATTAAGAATGCAATGTCTTCTAGTTCCAGAACATATAATGCTCTGTAAGTATCCCTTTGGTAGAAGTTGAAAATTCACAGACAAACCCATTACAGAAACACTAGATCTGAAATCTGATCTACACTTACCTGAAGTTCCATAGGGGTGGGGAAGAGAGGTGAGGTAGAATATATTCATTATACAGTACTGATGCAACTGAATTTAAATATATTTCGTGCATTAAGTTGTATAACTCCAAATACATTTTTAAAAACTAAACAGTCTATCTCAAGTTTACTATTAGGTAAAGAATTTGAATACTAAACCAACATAATCATTTCCTCATATGGATATCAGAGATCTAAACGTAATGTCCTATTTTCATTTAGGTTTTCTCTAAACTTTACAAGTTTTAAGCAAAAGCCACCAAGAAACATCTTAGTAATGTTATGTTTGCCAAGTATGTCTGAATAATGCCAACGTAAGAGGTGCTTGAGCAAGATCTACATTCTCCAGAATTAAAACAAAACAAAAATAATAAAAATAAAACAATAAAAAAGAAAAGCACATGAATTTGGGATTGAGGTTGGAATAGGAGACAGTTTCAGACCTGGTTTAATCCTGAGAAAGATGGGTCCTGAGAAGTACTAACAGTCATGCTTCTTTTCCTCTTCCCCACTGGAGATTCTAAACACTAAACAGACAATAGAGGGTGGCAGTGCATCAAACAGTATTGCTTACATTGCAACAATGGCCGGCGCAGACAGGCAACACCGAGGCATTAGAAAAAGAACAGGGTAGCCAAATGCCATCCTTCTTCCACCAAGCACTGTAGCTTCTCAGTTTTCCAAATAAGAACCACATGCTCAAGAACATTTGAATTCTGGAAAATACTCAAGTTTTTAATGCCACTATATAGTGTCACTGCCTGAAACAGGGATAGCAATGGTGACATTTGGCTCTTTAATTTTTTCATCAAAAATGGGGAATTTAGATCTGCAATCTTTGGTACCACAATCTGCCCTTCCCCCAAAAAAAGATTGTACAGGAGAAAAAAATCTTCAGTAAGGAAGAGGTAGAAGGCATTTAGTCACCTTAAATTTTATTTTTGTAAGCATGCAGGGCTGATTACTAGAAGAGATGAGCAAATTCACTAAGATTGGAGTGGCCACTCCTAAATATCAAATTCAGAACAATTCTCCAAATAAGAAATTTAACTTTAAAAAATCGACCTCAAAAGCCCCCCAAACCCTTTTTCTCCCATAAATAGAAAACTACTAGAACAAGCTTAGCAAAGAATCCAGTTTCATACAACTGGCATTTTTCAAACTATAACACAGAAAACACTAAAAACCAACTACATAAACAAAACGCTAATCTAAAATGTTGAAGAGCAGCATTTAGTATTTGACTCTTAGTTAAGTGAAACAGTTTGCTTCTACCTCATGGTCTCTCTGAAACTGTTTAACAGCAAGCAGCTCCACAAAATTTTTAATATCTGTAAGGATGATACAAATCCTAAAAAGGTTTTTTCATTTTTATTTTTTAACCACCAGGTAACTTAGATTTCCTAACACAATTATGTGATTAACAAGCTATTCTTAAGGAAGAAAAAAAAAAAAAAAAAGGAAAGTGGTATCTAGGCCATCATTTAAATTTAAGGCCAAAACCATGTACTGCAATGTCAACATGCAGAACAGGGATCACACAGGGATAGTGGGTCTTTAGGGGTAAGAAAATAGGAAGGAGAGGGCTGGGAAATTGCCAAAAGAAGATAAGAGTCAAACTGACAAACTGCCCAAAAACTTAAGATCAACATTTTTTTTTTCAAATAAATTACCAGGCTTTGTAATAATAACTAAGAACCTGGATACGTCAAAGAGAAAAACTACACAGTATTTTTTAATGCAATTTGGAAATAACAAAATAAGTTATATGTAGATTTAAATACCTTTCATTATTTAAAGCTCAATGAAAAAATTTGATTTCCTAAAACTTGGTCAGACTAACACCAATATCTCACACATTAACAAATAACACCAGTTCCAATGGTAATGGCTCCAAGTTGGCATTCATACAGGCAAACAAAGGTAAACATTTATAGCTAGACCTAAAAACACCAAACATCCCCTAATCGTTTAATGAAACAAATGGGAATCTTCCTTCCAAAAACAAAACAAACAAAAAATAATATCACAAAAAACAAAAAAACCCCCGAGTTGTCCTGAAGTTGAGAATTTCTATCGGAATCATTAGATCATAACATGCTTAGTGCATTGCCAATGCTGCCTGTCTGCCCGAGCTCAACATTGAATTGATAAAGCAATTCACTCAATAAAACTAATCATTGCAGAAAAAATTTCAATACAATTAATTTCTAACTTCAATCATGCGTCACTAGCTACAACCCAATCACCCCATAAGTTGAACCATTCTCAGAGACCCCAATGAACACTAGTTTTGTTGTATGAATGTTCATTTCACTTGTCTATATTTTCTTGTAAAGGAGGAGGGAGGGGTGAAGAACTCACCCAACTTGGCACCCAAGTAAAAAACTGTCAACTACTTTTAAAGCAGGTCCAAAAATTATCCTTTTAAATACACAAATCCAAGGACTGAAGAATTCTAATTATCAACCATGCTCAGTCAGGAAATGTTAACGCCATGGTGACAGATGGGTCAGTATTCCCACACTGGCACAAGCACAAATATTACAAAAATCCACACTTCAGAGCCAAGGTTAAAATCTGATTTTTAGCATCCAGGAGGAAAAGAATACGGGGATTTTCACTATTTAAGTGAATGAAAAATAGATACAACTGTTCAACAGTTAAATAACAGACGACTACAGTTCATTATAAAGCCCTTGGAATTTTATATTTCCATATAAGTACCTAATCTTGGTTGGGTAAGTTGGAGAGTACTTTAAGTTACTAAGTTAATAGAGTTAGCTGATTATCCTTCTAGCACAATCTTTTAAAGCAATATCAACAGCAAATTCACTTTACTATGGCTTTTTAAAGATTCAAAGTTTACCAAAGCAATTCTTGTCGATATTATACTCTTTGTTCTTTCATGCAAAGAGCATTTGACTAACCTTATTACAGTGACGCCCAATACCCATTAGGAAGTTATCTGGTTTAATGTCTCTGTGTATAAAATTCTTTGTATGCACATATTCAATTCTACTGATCATCTGAAAAAAAGAGAGAAATAATTGAGATAAGTGATAAGAGTAGCATATTATTTGTCAAGTATTTCAATACCTGAATTATTTATTTAAAAGTTCACAAAGACAACGACAGAAAAAAATTTAAATGGAAAAGATATCCAAGCTTTCCATTTATTTTTAGATTGATGGTTATCTATGCATAAACCCACAGTGTCGGCCCAGGCGTAGTGGCTCACGCCTGTAATCCTAACACTCTGGGAGGCTGAGGAGGGAGGACTGCTCGAGGTCAGGAGTTCGAAACTAGCCTGAGTAAGAGCGAGACCCTGTCTATACTATAAATAGAAAGAAATTAATTGGCCAACTAATATATATAGAAAAAATTAGCCGGGCATGGTGGCGCATGCCTGTAGTCCCAGCTACTCCAGAGGCTGAGGCAGAAGGATTGCTTGAGCCCAGGAGTTTGAGGTTGCTGTGAGCTAGGCTGATGCCACAGCAATCACTCTAGCCTGGGCAACAAATCGAGACTCTGTCTCAAAAAAAAAAAAAAAAAAAAAAAAAAACAAAAACTGCAGTGTCCTTTTGGCTTGTCTTTCCAGTATTAATGATTAAAAACCTGACAAGGTCTAACCTGACAGGAAGACTTGGTGTTTCTGACTTTCAAATTATAAAAGTAATACATTTAAAATCATTTCAGTTGCCACAATATAGGAAATGAAGTAAAAGCTTTTCACCCTTAATTCTATGACCTCTGATGTAATCAGTGCTAAAATGGCCTGATATTATCCAGACCTATATTATTTCCATGCTATTCTTACAAAGATACACATACACTTCGGGGTCACATAAACTTGGGAGTCGGGAGTGCTGACCAATTGGTAAATACAGCTATTAAGTAGTTGTTATTATTTCAAACTGAGATGGAAGCATTATATTCACTTTATTCTTGTTTGCTTGTTTTAACTAAACATATCCCAAACATTCCTGGGAGTTGGTAGCTACAAGATAAGCATATACATGTTCAGGCTTCCTTTCTTGTGTGCCTTTTAGAATCACCCATGTTTTTCTCCGTGCTTGTTATTAATGTTAATCCCATTCAAATGGTGAATATTGAACATGTCATTTTAACAAGCTTTTCTTAACTTCTTGGAAATTATGCCAAGTCAAATAATATAATATAGCTCTAATTTTTTCTTTTTGGAGACAGAGTTTCATTCTCTTGCCTGGGCTAGAATGCCATAGCGTCAGCCTAGCTCACAGCAACCTCAAACTCCTGGGCTCAAGGTGATCCTCCTGCCTCAGCCTCCTGGGTAGCTGGGACTACAGGCATGCACACCATCATGCCCAGCTAATTTTTTCTATTTTTAGTTGTTTGGCTAATTTCTTTCTATTTATAGTAGAGACGGGGTCTCGCTCTTGCTCAGGCTGGTTTTGAACTCCTGACCTTGAGCAATCCGCCCGCCTCGGCCTCCCAAGAGCTAGGATTACAGGCGTGAGCCACAGCGCCCGGCCTCAGAAGTTGTATTTTAAAATTTGTTCCATATCCAAAGACTGCCATCATTATCTACCCATATGTTCTTGTTCTTCTCAGTAGTATGTGTCAGAATTCTAATTTTTATTTGTCCCCATTTTCCAGAGCTTCTATTACCACGAATATAGAGATTCTAAATTGTGCTCTTCTACCTTGGCAAATATCTTCTGAAGCCAAACCAGTAATCTCTGGCTTAAACTACTTAAACCTTCAAAGTAGTAAGTGTGTACAATGTATAAATACCACTTTATGTGCAGAAGCAACTTATAAAGTAAAGCAAAAGATTTAGGTGACATACTTGACCTAGCTAAATAATACCCATCATTAAACTGTGCCTATTAAATCACTGCAGAAAAGTTGAGTAAAGGATAATTAATGGCATCTACTGCAGGCTATTTCAAATATTATTGCCTATATCACCTACAGAGCAAGACACAAGTGTTAAACACCTTAAATGAAAATGTTCTTGTAACTCCCTCCCTCACAATTACATTCTTTCTCATGTGACCATTGTACCCAACAGAGACTTCTATCACACACAGAACCTTGAACATCTCATTTTTCCCTACTAGCCTGTAAGCTCCTAGAGTGAAGGGACTAGTTCTTACTCTTCTTTGCATTTCCCAAGTGGTAAGTACAAAGGTAGGCCCTCAATATATGCTCAATGTACGAATGCTTATGTGTTACCAAGCCTACAAAATATAAGCTATAACTCTTATTAGGATTCACTGACATATGTTAGTTAAGACATATTAAAAGCTTTTATCCCTTTAACACTTGAATTTATAATGCACCACAAATTGAACATTATAATTTGCTAATATTTGTTTCTGCCCCACAGTAGATTTTAGGTTAAGAAGTCTGGGGATTATCAGGTGCTGATTACAGAAAATGTGCCCTATTTTCTAATCCCCAAATTTATAGACTTTAAAGATATTTTTAAAAAATCGATCTTTAATAGTTGTATATATTGTGAGGTACATATATTTTGATACATGCACACAATGTGTAATGATTAAATCAGGATAACCGAGATATCCACCACATTAAACATGCGCATTTCTTCTCTTCTAGCTATTATGAAATATATAATAAAGTACTGTTAACTATAATCTCCCTACTGTCCTTGCAAATACTATAACTCATTCCTTCTATCTAAATGTATCTTTGTACCAACTAATCAACTTCTCTTCACTCCTCCTAAATTTATACTTTCTAAAATTCTGTGTCAACTGCCAGTTTTATCATCTCATTTTCCTTTATGACATCCAATCTTTATTTTTAAAAATGTCACTCTTTCACAGCATTTTTATAAGCACACTGAGTTTAACTTGAAGCATTTCCAACATTTTCCCATGCTTAAGGGTAACAAATCTTGACCAAAGTTAAAAATCATAAATTCCTTGATATTTATCTATTGTTTTAATATATTATCTTTCCCCTCAAGGTTTGTTCCTAACCCTATTCCTCCCCCCACCTTAAAAATGTTTTAAACTAATTCTTTCTCATTTTCCTAAGATCAAAATATCTAAACTTTGCTGAAGAGCCATTTAATCTAACCTATAGCCAATGCATCAAATTCATGACATCTCCAAAATTTCCCAGGTCTTGCTTAAATAATACCAGTGGCTAAGAATCCATTACTTCAAAGCATATTACTGGTCAAAAATTCTTCCTTGAATTATTTCAGTATCTTATTTTCTTCAAAAAACACAGCTTTCATAAGAGTCCCACACATAACACACAATATTCAATTTGTTTAATTTATCCAAAATGTCAATATATATTATTTATCTAACACATACATACACTTAGAACTCTTCCTTCAAACAAGATCTGCTATATTTAACACTAAAACTCTATCTGAAGGAGCAGCCTGAAAACTACTAGTTTATAAATAAGTAATAATTCCAGTTTTGATCTTATACCCATAGGAAAACATCTACAAGTCATATTATTAAATCATTTTTTGCTTATCCTAAGGTTAAACAGTGATGATAAGATTGTAATATTCTGGTTTAGGAACACTGAAATACAGTCAACAGTAGTATTCTTAGTTTTTATTCTCATCAAAATGTCACATACCTGGTCAGCTAACATAAGTACAGTTTTCATTGTGAACCTTCTTGAACAGAAATTGAAGAGGTCTTCGAGGCTGGGTCCCAGAAGATCCATGACTAGTACATTGTAGTCTTTTTCCTGACCATACCACCTAACAAAACAAAAGGATAGGGAAGGCATTATGAAAGGCTATCACAACCACCAAATTAATTAATTTTAGGAGACAGGGTCTCACTCTGTCAGGTGGGCTACAATGCAGTGTTGTAATCACAGCTCTCTGCAACCTCAAACTCCTAGGTTCAAGCAATCCTCCTGCCTCAGCCTCCCAGGGTAACTGGGACTACAGGTGTGTGCCACCACACCTGGCTAATTTTTCTATTTTTTGTAGAGATAGGAGTCTCACTCTTGCTCAGGCTGGTCTTGAACTCCTGACCTCAAGCAATCCTCTATGCCTTGACCTCCCAAAGTGCTAGGATTACAGGCAAGAGCCACTGCACCCAGCCAGCATCACCGAATTTTTAAAATTTGTAAACTCTAAGAAAATAGTTTCCCTCTCTGGTTATGTTTTTTTTTTTTTTTTTTTTTTTTTTGAGACAGAGTCTCGCTTTGTTGTCCAGGCTAGAGTGAGTGCCATGGCGTCAGCCTAGCTCATAGCAACCTCAAACTCCTGGCTCAAGCAATCCTCCTGCCTCAGCCTCCCGAGTAGCTGGGACTACAGGCATTCGCCACCATGCCCGGCTAATTTTTTGTATATATATTAGTTGGCCAATTAATTTCTTTCTATTTAATAGTAGAGACGGGGTCTCGCTCTTGCTCAGGCTGGTTTCGAACTCCTGACCTCGAGCAATCCGCCCGCCTCGGCCTCCCAGAGAGCTAGGATTACAGGCGTGAGCCACCGCGCCCGGCCTTGGTTATGTTTTATTTAAGCAAAGTTTTCCTCTATTCAGAAGACAAACCCACTGGCCAACTAGATTGCCCAATACAAAACAAGGGTAATGATACTTCCCCCTCCCCCATCAAGTGACCCCATTTTCCTATAAAGACAGGACATGTATGGCAGCCTTAATATTCCTCTTATCAGGGCAGCTAAATTCTAGCTATTGCTAGAATCTGCCATTGATTCCTGTATCTTCAGCAAATTCCTTAACCTCGCCTGGATTTACTTCCTAACTGAACAAATGAAGACTATTATTAGTCATTCCAAACACTGCAAAAAGCAAAGACCCCTTTTATCATAACTCCTGGCCCAATTCCCACCTAACTGCATTTACCAATTATCTGCCCTTTTTCAAAAAGGAGCCGCATTTTTTCTTAGTTTCAGATTACAGAGAATCACCAGTGTTAACACAAGGTGTAATAACATTTATTTGCTTTTGACTAGAATCATGTTTTAGTCATGATGTTTTAGATATGAGAATCATATCTCATGCTGTATTACTGTGGATACATATATAACGTGTCCCCAATAACACAAGAAATACCAACTGCTAATTTCATTTATCCCAAGGAATGAGAATCATTGCAATAAATGATTTCAAATTTCAATGTCTTATGATTCCGGTAAAGGGTACTTTCTTAAAAATTAGCACTACCATTTTTATTTCAAACTTTTCTAAATTACAAATTCTGCTTGGAAAGAAAACTGGCCAATATTTAAAACTCTGTAAAGAAAACAAAAAAATACAAGTAATTAAAGCTAAAAATGAAGCCATTTCTTTGTTAACTCCAGTTAAAAAGCAATACCAACTATATTCAGAAAGTTTATGTTTTAAAAATATTCAAAAAAAGGAGAAAAGTTTTTTCTTAAAAAACCAAAATCTGTGTCAAAATTATACCAAATAAACCAGTCTAGTGCTTTTAATGCTACTTCTTGCTGTTTTGCTAATACATGCCAATGATTCAAAGAAAACCAAGATTAAAACTAGAATATGAGGATTAATATTTGAGCAATGATATTTTTCCAGAAAATGCAAAATTAACTACTTTGCACCAGAGTATACTTTCTTCTAACTAGTGCCCCAAATACCCACTAACATTATCTCCTGATGACATCTACCAAAACTTCAGGAATTTCAGTCGGTACCCAAGAAAGGAAACAAAATAAATAAGCCTCAAATCAGTTAAATTTCAGACCTATTCAGACACAATGAGTACGTTCCCTAGAATGTTATCCTGAGAGTAAAAGATATAGTAAGTCCAAAAAGTTCAAGTTCTTTCCTATGTTCACCTGTTCTTGAGAACTACTTTCCAAACATGAGACATGTATAACTGCCATTAAATACAGAAAATAGAATCCATTTTGACATCTTCTTTGCAGAAAGTAGTAACTGAATAAGGAAAGGGTGTTTGCTTAACTCTCTAGAGGTCCTGCCCACTAGCCTAAAAAAGAAACAGATGTGCCAACCTAACAGTGGTAGAGTCGGTCTGTCCTTATTGCACCTAAAACTGTGCACCAAAGCTGCTGTTATTTTTTATTCCATATGGGAATTCAGCACCCTACACATTCATTCAAACATTTACTTGAAAAAAGTTCACAGTGATGTTTTGGTTAACACATAACAAATAACGGTATTAAAAGGTAAATGGTAAAACAAATAAGTTATCTTCTCCTTTCCCTTTTCCTATTTTATTTTGCCCTTTCCTTTTTCCCCTCCATTTTATAACACGTAAGTGCAGAGGCAAATCTGTGCTAGAAAGCTGTCAGAAATCTGCCATTATAAATGGTCGACATACTAAGAATTATAGCAGATTTTTAATATAAATCTAATTTACTTAAGTTTTTAAGAAAATACTGCCAAATCCAGAAAGAGCTAAGGAAGTATGGGGAAGGCACAAAAAGTCAAATAGGCAAAAGGGAAAGCATAAACGAACTCTCACAAGACTATGTCTCAGCTCTACATAAACAGATTTCCACTATGACTAAGAGACATAAAACTACTTAAAACTACTTATTGTTACAACCATCCAAGCCCAAATACAAACCTGGGGTGTGAAAGGCACTAATTAATACCTCATATCTTCGCGAAATTAACACCATTTCATAAAGCACTTCTTAAACGATCTGCCACCAAGTCTCTAGCTCCCTCAATAATTAGAAACTGGGAAAAACTACATGAATTCAGAAATAAACAAGTATTGGACATTCTCCTTAAGTGTATGAACATAAGACTGGTTTTTGTTTTCAGTGTCAAGCGAATGAATATTCCATAAAAAATAGCTCAAATATTTACATTTCAAAGGTATTTTTCTCTGTGAGCAAACATGCAGCTCTAAAACAACTAGGTCTCTCTGCTCTACAGAGACTGGCACTATAACTCCAAACCTAAGAGACAGGTGTTTTTTTCATACTTCCCTTGGTTTCAAGGAATATATAGCTTAATTCTCCAAAGCTAACACCTCACACCCTCCATCTGTGCTTTCCATCTGGACTAAGTCATTCAGACATTACACACAGATTAGAAACTAGGAATGGTCTTCTGCTTATTAAAATCCTACCTATTCTTAGTTTCTACCTTCACTCTACGTTTCCAATTCTATTCTGAGCTTCTCTCTACTTTCAATCCCAACCTCTTAAAACCCAGATGCCAAAGAAATCTGTCTTATGTCATGTATCCCACACTGATCTCCTATTTCCCAGAATTCCCAAAGTCATTGACTATTATTGTTTGTATCCACAATCTACCCCTTAACAACAAATATTCACATATTATCACTTTGGCATTTCTGACTCTACACCTGGTAAGATAGAGCTTACAGTTTTATTTTGATTTGAACAGTCTTTACAGAACCTGAAAAAATGAACGAGGACTAACCTGATTCTCTGCCATCATTTAACTTTGTAGACAATCTGAAACACACCACCATAAAAATCTCACTCTTATTCTCCACTTTCTAGGTGCCTTCAAGCTAGAAACTCAGGCCTTATCTTTAGACAGTTTTTTAATATTAAGTAGAAGATATATTGCTACTAAGGACACTTGTGGTAAAGTGATGTGAATGTTGTAGGTACTCAGATTATCTATGAGACTAAAAAAAGAACTCCAATTTGATTTGGACCTTATCCTTCCTAATAGTTTCAAAATATCCAAAAGAATGAAGTAATTTAATGGATGAAAGTAAAAATAAATAAATAAAATGTTTAGGGGTCTCATTTTCCATTTGTTTGGTTCAAATCAATATCTTTAGACTAAGGATGAGTTCACAATTTATATAACCATCATTACTTACTTAGAGCATAAAAAAGGTACCTGAAGAAGATGCCAAGAGAAGGCTAAGTCCATCTTTCTGTTCTTATCTCCTTTTCTCTAAACACACATCCAAGCTAAATCTAGTCTGGAAATTAAGACATACACAAAAAGCACAAATGGAAAATGATACATGCACAAATAATACATGTCAATAAAGCTGACAAAAAATGCTAACAGAATTCAGACAAAAAGATCAAATGGAACTATATCTATCTAAAGAGATATTGTGAAAATGGTCTGCTGCCCATTAGGTCCTGAAGGATGGATATTTTGATAGGGAAGACAGAAAATGGCATGCCAGGTAGGCATAAGAATTAACCATTTTGAGGCCAGGTGCGGTGGCTCACACCTATAATCCTAACACTCTGGGAGGCCAAGCCGGGCAGATTGCTCGAGATCAGGAGTTCGAAACCAGCCTGAGCAAGAGCGAGACCACGTCTCTACTATAAATAGAAAGAAATTAATTGGCCAACTAATATATAGAGAAAAAATTAGCAGGGCATGGTAGCGCATGCCTGTAGTCCCAGCTACTTGGGAGGCTGAGGCAAGAGGATTGTTTGAGCTCAGAAGTTTGAGGTTGCTGTGAGCTAGGCTGAAGCCACGGCACTCACTCTAGCCTGGGCAACAGAGCAAGACTCTGTCTCAATTAAAAAAAAAAAAAAAAGAATAAACCATTTTGGACCATGGGCTCCCACAGAAGGAAGAGTCAAAGTGGCAGATAGTTTGAGGCTGTATTATGGATTCTCGAATGCAAAGCTAAAGAACTTTATATTCTATAAATAACTGGAGGAATTATCAGTAGGGTTTGTGGCCAAGATACAATTAAAATCAGTATTTTAGCATCAAGTCTTGGCATTAGTATACAATATAGAAATAGAAGACTAGGGGAACAATGACATGGGGA